TGGGTAATTTCCCTATTTGAGGGATATTTTGCATCAAAAATTATTAAAAGGGAAAAAAGGGACACTTCATATAAATAAGGGATTTTCTTTTGACGCAGTTATTGTTGCATAATTGATCAAAATTCAAGAATATTCGACATTCTTACGTAATTAATCGTTCTGAAGATGTGATGTGGAGTGAAATGGTATATAATTGTTAAAAAGTATAAGGACAATTTCGAAAATTTTCTTACGTTAACTAATTCAAGCGCTGAGTAAGAAAGAATCTTTTCAGTTGTAACTGGTGTTTCATGTAAAAAGCGGAACAAATTATCTGATGAAATGGTTAATAGCACATGAATGTGCTTCAATTTTGAAGTCACCAAAAAAATTTTTTAGGCCCTTAGTGAGTGAGCAAAAAAATGAAAGTGAAGCCGGCAGGCAATGGCAAACCTCCGAGTGTATTTCTGCCATGAAAAACAGTTTCTCATAAAAATACACTCGCCATTCGGAGTCGGCGTAAAACTGAAGGTCCCTCCCCATTGTGTGACAACATCAAGGGGACCGCCACAAATTGGAGGAAAAGCACATATGTGTAAGCGCCAAACTATTATTATTACTTTATATGAATTTTACTTCTTTACTACTGAAACATGTATATGTTTAAAATCGTTGGGAATTTTGTGGGATAAATTTTCAAGATGTGGGTAATTGAGGGATTTTTTCCCCATTTCCGTGGGATATTTAACAGAGAATGTCTGGCATCACTGAATAAAACATAAGAAAGTGCTTATTATTATTATTTTGAAATCAGTACCGTGGGCCCCGCGGGTACCGATATACGCGCCCATCTCTAGTCAAAATATTTCAAAATATCTTATACTTGGTATTTACAAGAGATGCTCTCTACAGCTAAGAGCTAAGAGTGCAGTAAGACTGAGGCCATTAGGTTGCGGTTGAAGAAGTCTGACAGAAAAAATCCAATCTTCCCACACTGCTCTAAACGGTACAGGATCTACTCCCAGTAACTTTATTGAGGGAAGCTTGCATATATATAAAATCCCATACTGCTTTTTTTAGGCTGAGACCAAAGCAGTAACCGCTATGGGACGCGTCTGTTTTTTTAGAAAACACGATCAATGCCTTCAATACGACTTAAAGTAGCTCGATATATATTCACGAATCTCGAAGAAACCTACAATTTTTTTGGCAGCCCATAGTCAATTCATACGAGGCATGATGGCGTTCCGAAAAGTAAGGAAACATACGAATGTGCAACTAAAACATTTTAAGCAAAAATTGGATTTGATCGAAGCATACAATATCCTCTAAGTTTCTTGAGCTTACAAGTAAAGGCGAAGTATAAGAGCAGATACTAATAGCAGGTAAATATAGCGTGTGCATGAATGATTATGGACTTTGAAAAGAAAATTTACTCCTAATGCAGGTCAAGCAGAAGTGTTAAAGAATAAACTAAGCATTTTGGGAAATACTACTGGGCTTCATGCATAAAAAGTGAGCTTGAGCTCAGAATCAATTTTTGCACTGATGGAGTGAGCTCAAGCGCAAGAATTTGTACTGAAAACCGAGTTGCAGCTTAAGCTCACTTTTTATGGATGAGGCCCAATGTCTCGATAGAGTCGTGCGAGCTTAACACGCGTCGCAAAGCGCCGTGGGCACTTAATTACCTATAAAATTTAATGACGTATGGAGCCAGAACACAATAGCCATGCGGAAATGACAAAAAGTCCTTTTCGAGATCAGCTTCTTATTGTCGAGATAAGTGGACCAAAATTAAACAAAAACGTTGGTGTTCATGACAGTACACTTGAATTCAGAAAAAGGAAAACAAAAATTTTAATACACAACTTTAAGAATCATAACTGGAATTTTGTACGAATCGTAAACTCACTCTCTGAGAAGAAAACTTTAATTTTGTTGGCTCCAACGGATTTAATAATAACACAGGTTTCCAAAGAAAAGTTTCCGCATATTAGACCAAACCTCTATATCCCTACAGCTGCTTGCAGAGGAGCCCTCGCCTAGGCACGTCAGGAGGCATCTATATGAACCAACGGACAAAGTCCAGAGGTTCATTAAGCAACCTCTGGACCCGACAGCCTACAGACAGGCCCTGAACGGCATTCACAGGGACTCAGTCTCGAGTTATGTAGACTCTAGACCTGTGAATGCCGTTCTAGGCACACCACCCCCGGACATAGACGAGACGGAGCTTCATCTGCCTCGGGAGACACGCACTACACTCGCACAACTTCGCTCCGGCTACTGCAGCAGGTTAAACTCCTACTTGAGTAGG